AAATAAATTTTAAGAAATCTTAAAAAAACTTTTGAAAAATAAAATAAGCAGGCAAATTTGCCTGCTAGACGGTTTAAAGGATAAATAAATATATATATTTTTTATAAACTGCTCTTAGTAAAGTTATATTTTATTTTTATACTGCTATATTATCACAATAGATTATTGTAACTATATACTACATTACTTGTACTATATTAAAAAGTTATAAACTATTTATAACAATATTTAATAATACTGTGATAAACTAGCAAAAAATATATACCAATACAATATATTTAAAATAATATATAATATTATATTTTTTATAATATAAAGACTTTGTATTTAAACAACTAGTATATAAATAAATTAAAAATATATATAATATACAGTATATACTATAGCAATCTGATTATTTCAACACTATATAATAAAGAAAAAATTTATTGATCATCTAGGTGAATTATTCACTCCTGTTCTGTATAACATATGATTACAGTATTTATTTGTAATACAAATTTGACTACTATAATACACAGTTAACTATTTATATATTATGAAACCTAATTAGTTAAACTTCAATATAAATATATAAACTATCATATATTTTCTTGTTTTTTTGGTCTTTTAACACACTTTTTTTTACTTTGTCATTATCATTAGAGCTGTTACAGATATTACATAATATCCATTTACTATAAGGGTACTCCTCCTCCTCCCACATAAGATGATGACTCTGATTGGTGACAAAATAAATATAATACAGATCTGTAAAGATATATAACCTTAGCAAATTTTATGATATCTCGTGATCCAGTAATTGAAACTCACCAATTTTGATACCATTCGATCCGTCTCAATGATATGGATCGAATGGTACCAAAATCATTGAGTTTTGTCTACTGGATCATGAGATAATTATATTTAAACAATTTTTATAAATATCTAAATAACTTGTCAACCAATAGTCTAAATTTAACGATTTTGGTACCATTCGATTCCTCTCGATGAGACGATTCAAATGGTGCCAAAATCATTAAAATTAAATTACTGGTTCACGAGATATTTACAAAAAACTGTTTGTGGTGCAGTTCTTTATATTTACAAAGAAATTTAGTTCTATAAAGAACTGCACCACAAAACGTTTTTGTGAATCTCTCGCGAACCAGTAATTTAATTTTAATGATTTTGGCACTATTCGAATCGTCTCATCGAGAGGAATCGAATGATACCAAAATTGTTAAATTTGGACTACTGGTTGACAAGTTATTTAGATATTTATAAAAATAATTTAAATACAATTATCTTGTAATCTAGTAGTTGAAACTTGATAATTTTGGTACCATTTGATCTGTCTCATTGAGATGAATCGAATGATACCAAAATCGTTAAGTTTTAATTACTGAATCATGAGATATCATAAAATTTATTAAGATTACAGATCTTTGCAGATCTGCATTATATTTATTTTGCCAATATTACATTATATATATAATTATATATATTATATATATGTAATGTAAGACTTTGGCTTACTTCCCACCCCCTAAGATATTATGTAATATCTGTCACAGCCCTTATCTATCGTATGCTTTTTTGCCTCTTGGTCTTTTAATCTATTTACTTTTTTTTTTTTTAATCCTGTCGCTATTGTTGACTACTTTTTTTATTATAGTTAGACTACTTTTTCATTTTTTTGTTATAGTTGGTCTGCCTTTTTTTTTCATCTACTTTATAATCAGCCTACTTTTTTTTCCCATTAGAGCCAGCTTACTTTTTTTCTTATTAGAGTTAGACTACTTTTTTTTTTTATTATTATATCTTCTAGTAAGACTTGTGAATCTTTTGATAACATTGAAGTAGATGAAATAGATGATATATTAAATAGTGAAACTATATATACTAGTAGAGAAATCTTAGATTTAGAATTTGAAAATCACACTGGAAACTTGCCTTTGATCGATACTCTGTTTGAAATCAACTTGGGTACTCAGTTCCCTTCCATGTCTGTTGCAGTTCATTTTGTTGAACAATATGCCTAGCAAAACTGATTTGCTGTTTTTAAATATAAAAGTAAAAAATTTAAAGATGGTACCTGTAGAAAAAAAGTTTTTAAATATGATTTAGAAAGAAAATATAGTGAGAAACTGTCAAGACCGGTATTAGGTAAACAAAAAACAAGAGGAGTAAAAAACAAGGCTATATGTAGCAAATAAATATAATATGACTACTAGGTTCATTAATAGTAACTATAACAACCTTTAATAATAAACATAACTATAAAATTTCTGCTAATATTTTAAAATTTGCTGTTGCTTACAAAACATTTTCACTATAAATTATAGACCAAATTGAATTTTATATTATATATGACCGATGTGATGCAACAACAATAAAAAATCCTTTTTAATCTAAATACCCTGATCGTGTGTTTTTTACCCAAGACCTTGGGAATGCAATTCAAAAAATCAAATGTAAAAAAGGGTTAAATTTAAGCGATATAGCATCTTTATTAGCAAAACTTCTTGAGCTTTAAGCAAATAACTCAGAATGGTTTGTAAAACTACAGTATTAATAGATAACACAAATAATAGATTAATTAGAATTTTCTAGATATTACCAGAACAACATAAAAGATGGTTTAAATTTTATGACATTATTATTTATGATAATACTGCTTAAACAAATAGATATAACTATCCATTAAGTTTATTTTTTTTGATTGATAATCATAATAGAAGTAGGTTAGCAGCTCAAGCATTTATATAAGATGAAAAACAAGAATCATATGAATGGCTATTGCAATATTGTCTTGATGCATGTAAAATCCTCTCATTAATATTTGTAACTGATACAGATCTAGCGATAATAGCAGCTGCTTCTATAGTATTTCTAACATCCTATCATATACAATATTTATACCATCTTTATCAAAATATTGCAAAAAATCTTCATTCGCATTTAGGTTCTCTTTATTAAGAGTTTCTTAAAGATTTTAAAAATATCTAACATTCTTATTGTAAAAATATATTTGAACAAAGGTCTCAAGGATTAACTAAAAAATATACTGCAGGAAAAAAATATATAAAGACAATATTACTAAATTGGAAACATACCTGGGTTAAGTATTTCACATTTTAGCACTTTATAGCAAGTATCTAGTTCATACAGAGGGTTGAGTCAGAAAATACATTGGTACAAAAAGCTGTACAATTAAGCTTTTCTCTTTTAGAGGTTCAGAAAATACTTGAGAATCATCTAGATTTTGAGTTTATTAATAATAGTTACTCAATTTAAAAAACTTCAATACTATAGTATATACAACTACTGTATTTGTAATACAAATATTTTTTAATAGCGTCAATCAGGTTTTAAAACAATATATTATACAACTGATTCATGATGCATACCATAAACAAATATGTTAGTTTGTTTGCTATAATATATATAAAGTACAAATGAAGAAGGTTTTAACATTTGACGATGATTTATTTGAACTATTTTTTTAATAAAAAATTAATAAAGATTTTGAAATCCCTATTGAAGCTGACAAAGACAGAGCTTGATTTGCAGTTCTTAAATAAAATATAACACTGAGAATATTCTAGAAATTTGGAAGATTTTTCAGTATGGCTATCCTAAATATTATTAGCATGTAATCTTATTTAGCAATAGAGAGCACTTGTGTATTTGTTTTATACTTATTACTTATAGCATCATATATAGATATTTTTTTAAAACATTTATTGAATCTTCTAATACATGCTTTCACTTATCATTAATTCTTAGCCATTGGTATAAGGATAAATATATCAATTCAAGTGAGTCCTGTTTTAATGAAACTATAACCAGTAATTGTAATTGTAGTGTTGATAGTACAACTAGCATACAGATTCAGTCTTTTACTTAGAAATACACTGTAAATGATATTCTTTCAGAAAAAATATTTAAAAAAATTTCTCAAGATCAATTAAAGTCTGGCACTTTGATGGGTGAGGCAAAAAAAGCAATTCAATTTTTAATTCAAGATAATGATGATGAACTAATTCGATTTATCAAAGAATATAATAAAAAAAATAAAGCCCAAAGAATTGAAGCCGAGTTAGTTAAAGAAAAAAAACTTTAGCCAAAAAAAGAATAGCAACAAATAATAATTGAATCTTTCAAGATGTAAATAGAAATTTACTTAATTATGAGTAGGTTTTAGATTTATTAAAGTATAAATCAAAAAGAAAACTACTATCGAAATAGTTAAAATTAGCTATTGAATCTGAATATCAAATATATTCAAAAGATAAAGATGAGAATGGTTAATTAGCATCTGAAGAAAGCTATAAGTGTAGTTTATGTAGAGAAAATAGTAATTATCATAGTACCTATTCTGCAAAAAATTAAATTAGTATAGTTTAGCTATTGGATTCTAATTATAGTCAATGTGATAGGTATTAAAGATTATGATCATTTTTATTTATAACAAATATGTAGTCGCAAAATTTAAAGTTTTAAAAATTGATGGCTAGAAAATACATTAATTTATTTCAAATTATCAGAATTTTAAAGAAGCAAAGGTAATTGTTATATAAAATATAACAATGAGTCTGATTTTTTTTTTTATTAAGCAATTGTAATTTTTAGAAGTTCAGTAAATCAGAAACTAACTACAGGATTGGAGTGGCAAATTTGAAGTCTTAAAGAAAAGCATGAGAAATTATATAAATCTTAAAAATCAAATGTATAACAATTTTTGAGTCTATATAGTGCTATATATGCTTATGAAGAGACTGTGAATTATGAGTAAATAAATACTTAGCTATTATTGTTTCTATTTATCTATTAATTTTTTTTTTCTTTTTTAATTAAAATTATCATAATTTAACTTTAATATTAGGATTCAAAAGTTAATCAAAGCCAATCAATCTTTAACAAATAAGATTGATCTTCAAAGTAAAACTTTTCGTAAAAAGGATATTACAATTCAGGTATAAATATGAACCTTATTTGGCTATGTTAATCAAAAACTATTATGATTATGAAAATTATTCCACTTAGCTTTTACGAGAAGAAGTGGTGATATTGCAATTGAAGTTTGATGAACTTTATAAATATATGAATGATTTAGAAATAAAAAATAGTCAAATTTTATAGTTTTGGCTGAAAAAGACAAATGAAAAAAATTGTTTTTTGAAAGGTTATATATATATATTTTTTATTTATTTATTTATTTATTTATTTATTTATTTATTAATATATTCATCGAATCTAAACAATGTTTAGCATATCAGATGTTTATGTTAAAATATTTAAATCTCAAAGTTGTGGACAAAAACTTCAAGTTTATCCTGAAACCAATTGCATTCATAAAATCAAGCACCAAATAGACAAGGTATTTATTTTGAATCTTTTATTTTCTTATCCCTTAAACTGTAAGCTTTTTTAGACAAATTTGTCTGAAAAATTACTATAAATATACTTATAATCTATATTTTTTAATTTTTAAAATATTTAAATAAAATTTTTTTTGATAATATTTGAAAAT